GTCCAGGGAGCAACACACTATCTTCCTGGGAAAGCAGGGTGGGCAATGCTGGAGTGCTATGTTCTCTTCTAAAAGAAGCAGCATGTACAGACATTTGCTCTCTCCAGGGAAACTCCTGGGGGTGATTTAATCCTGGTTGTTACCCTGGTTATTTTTCTTCTAGAGCAGCCATCCTGACTCTGGCAGAAAAAGCCTGAACATTTGTATGTTGGGGTTTCTCTTGGGGAAAACAGCAACTCTCTCAGGAGAAACTGAATGTCTGTATGAGGTCACTCACTGGACTGCTGCTCCAGCAAGGAGCAGAATGCATCCCCTGAACAATCCCCATATTGTGCTGCAAGGAAACACAGGCTGATCATGGGCAGTCTGGGGCAGCCAATCAGGGCTGCCCTATGTACTGTTGCCATTGGTCGCCAGGCAGACTAAGGGAGCCGGAAGAGCACACTGAGATGTGTGCACAGCCTGCCCCCCTGCTTTTCCCCAGCTGCACAGTGTCAGCACTGCAAGTTCTCTACTCTTCAGGGCCTCAGTATTCAAATATCTATATATGTGGCTCTAGGTAAGTTCCTCTACCAGGAAAACAAACTTGGGAGAATTCTCTTTCATTATTTGCATATGTGTATGCAGCCATTGACTAGAGTTCAGGAGGAAAGCTGGGGTTGGGTTTTGGTAAGAGAAACTGTGGGCTTGGGGTTGCAACTGAGCAGAAAAGGGCTGGGAGAGAAGTAGACTTGGGCTGCATAGGCAAGGAGATTGGAACTGGCCTGTGGTGGGGGGGAAGACTAATGCTACTAAACTGCTATCTAATACTGACTTTGGAAGAGGACTATCAGCCACATTCAGATGGGCAACCTGGAAATGTAAGTCTTTATATTTCACTCCAAGCTCCATCTCTTTGGAGATAACCATATAATTGTTATCCATGTGTCTAGAATAGTTTAGTTTTCAAAGCAGTTGATTCCCTTGTTTGTGCCATATTTATAATTCACAAGGAAAACTGGTGAAAGATTAAACTATCAGCTTTTCTTACTCTCATAAGAATAAGAAAAGCTGATAGTTTAATCTTTCACCAGTTTTCCTTGTCTATTGGAAATGAATGGGTAGTGCTGCCTAGATGGTTTATAATTTGAGATTAATGAAATAGTTTAAAAAAAAAGCCACAGACATCAAGGATGTTAAAACCTCATGTGCTAGGAAAGTGCAAAATTGCATATCTGAATGTGGTGTCACACTGCCACCATGTGGTCAAGCATTTGCATGTTGTTTAACTCAACACCCAGCATTTCATTCAAATGACTTGCCCATTTGCCTAAACATTCTGCTGTATCGTTTCCAAATAGAAATGCAACTTAATGCAAAGAATAGTCATAATGTGCTGATAAAACTCATCTGACAGGATAGGTTCTGAAACTGGTATCGTCCTGAAAAAAAAGATGGAAATGATCCCTGCTTCCAGATATTTGACAATCAGCCCAAAAACTGACATCACTTTTAACAATTCTATCCTTGCTAAAATGACACTGGGTACAGAAGGACCAGCAGTGAGTAATTTTTATTTTTAATACCCAAGCCTCATGTAACAATATATGCGCTCTTTCTTTACAATGTGAAGCAGAAAGCAAGATAGGAGAGGAACTGTGAAATATTTCTTAGTGAGACAGAGATGCAGAGTAGTTTAATCTGTAATGCTATATCTTTATTCTAATATAGTTGCATATTCCATGTTGGAATAAAGCAACTTTCTTCTGTGATTATTTGTTATTTGCAACTAGTAACACCAGTTACCGTATCCAAAAGTCTGTGCTGGAGCCTGTCTACTACTTTATGTATAGATGAGCCTTTGAATAGGGGGATGGACTAGATGGCTTCTCAAGGTCTTGTCCAGCCCTATTTTTCTGTGATTCTGAATGCAACCAAATTTTTGTTTTGTTCCTAAAACCGAGACTGCTGGTATCACTGTAACATATTGGAGCTCAGAAATTTAAAATCTCTTTTGCATGTTACATTCTTACCCTTTTGCTTGCATACAAACGGACATGAATCAAAACCTTGGCTTCAGAAAAGCTCAGATCTTAATCCAAATTTTGCAGTCTGAGGTCATCCCTAGTTTTCCGCCCCACAAAAAGCACTGGTAAAAATCTCCTATCTATGCAATCACTTAAACTCCTCTCCAACCTCTCAGTTTACGTCTTAGTCTTTATGCCTCACAATAACCAAATGCACACTTTATTCTTCAGTTCCATAACAACCCTCCCATGTGCCTTTATCCTACAACCACCCATATTGCACACAGCTAACTTTTCTCAATCACCTACACATGCACGACCTGGTTTTCATCCACAGAACTGGTTTGAGACAAAAATTACACATTATGCACTGTGAAAGTAAAGGCATCCTTAATGGTGAGATGTCTCGATCCAACAGAGTAGAGGTGAGGTGTTATGTTTGAGTCTGATTTTGAGAAACTGATGGTGGGCATTGTTGTTATTTGGATACAGGTTCCTGCAGTGTCTTATACCTGATCCTAAAAAAGAAAGGGTCATAATAATTACTAACTAAATGAATAATAAGTATCAAATATAAATAATTAGTAAGTATGACCAATGTATTTCTAAGGCTTATAATAATTATGAATTAATAGTAACATAAGTTATTATTAATTAATAATAATTGTCCAATAATAGACAGTGCTATTCAAAGACTGGGTTTGGAGTGCAGGGCAATTATTTCTCTGTGCTATTACCTATTGATTTTTTTAAGTGTGAGCATCAATATTCATTATCATTTTATCCTAAGTAGTGTAATAGCAAATTGTCTTCATATTGATGCATCTCATCCCCATCTTTATCATTCTTATTCAGAATTTGTTATCATCTACAGCTGGTTAAAAACTTTCTAACAAGTTAGTTACCATTCTTCTCAGAAAAGAGTCCAATCTAAAAAAAAATCTTTGAGTCTAAAAAGATTTGAATAGATTCTTTTTTAAAAGTCATTCATTCCAGTGGCATCCTATCAGTAACTTAGACTAAAAAGATCTATTTTTATGTGCGTGGCTTTTAAACCCAATTAAGTATCACCTGTTTCAGGTACAAGTCTCAGTGATGTTTCAATTCAAGCATTAAAATAATTGCTGCAATAGGACTATTTTTAAGGCAAGTCAATTAATGATTTCATATATACCTCCATGTTTTACAACTTGATTTGTATTCAGTTTGAACTGCAATCACTTGAGCATAGCAAAAAAGAACATAACAAAGAGCATGAACAAGGACAGCAAAAAAGAAACACTAGAGGGCAATGTAGTAAAACTTTTCTTTGAGGAAAGCTAGCTTCTCTTCTAAAAGCATACAATAGCTTCTTGAGATTGGGCAGTGGCTATTCGCTGTTCCACAGCAGAGGTTACACCTATGTTTCTGTTTAAAGCTGAGTTCTGCAGCTGTAATATTAATGGTTTGATTTAAATGTACTGAGATAGGGAAACTCACAGTTCAAACAAAAAAAAAAATTATGGTAGCACTTCCAATTTGTTAGACCTTCGCTTGCATCAGTATTTCCCTAACTATGAATAACTGAGTTATGCAATTGTATTTTTATATCTATTAAAATTTTATCCTGTGCTCATTGCCAGAGATTACAAGTTAAATAAAGATCCTGATTTACCTTAATGGATAAAGCGCTGTGCACACATCAGAACAAAAATATTCGAGTTGTTTTTATGGCATTTTAGCAATAAGACCTCTTATTCTTTATCATTCTCAGTAAAAGCAACCTGTTGCATATTTGGAATTACATATGCACTCTTCAAACTGTTGTATATTTATGTGTATGTTATACAGTAAATGTGTTGAGCAGTTTCTATTCCCTTTCCTCTGTACTTATCTCAATCCCCAAAACTTTTTAAAACTGAAATTGATAATTGGTCACATCCTCTTGCCCCTGTTGAACAGTACCTTGTTAGGCATTTGTAAGCACATTATTCTTCTTATGCACCTTGCACAAGCAACTAGTGAACAACCAACATGAGCTGTCCAGTTACTATGGTCTTGTCATATGTCCCTTTTACTGTCTGATCAGTTTTCATTTGATGTGAATGGCCTTTAGTGAGGAATCTGTCTTTTGTTAACATTACTGCACTAGTGTTCTATTGTGGTTTTCTTAGCAGTCTCAACAGGCAATAAAATTACAGTTCTGAATTTAAAAAAAGAAAACATCTGCTACTGCTACAAAAAGTATTTATTGAGTAGGATCAATTCTTAGTGTTTCATTAAGCTACCTCCATCCTTTGGTGTGGTTTGCATTGGTTTTCCATGCCTACAGATAAACAGCATTGCCTGTTTAAATGTTATATGGTCCCATCACACATAAGATTTAAAATATGATTAGCAAGTTAACTGTGCCTTTAGTAGTAGCCTGTAACAAGTGGCCGTCCTGGGGCTGGTTTAAACATAGGCCCACCCACTTGTCTCTGGGGAAACCCCCTGCCTACCTCGTTTGCCATGCCTTGATGGTAATGATCAATAGATCTTAACAAGGTGGGAGGCTGCCCATTTACTTGCCTTGATGCTAAGGGCTGATACACATGGCTCTGACTGTCCCTTATCATGTCCCATGCCTCACAGATGATATCCATGATCTTACACCTGGCCTTGGTTTGTTTCGCCTAGTATCTGGCCTGCTTGTCTGCAAAATATACTGTTTGATTAATCAGAAACTGATGCATGGGATTGTTTCCCCAAATACAAGTGGTGTTCTTAGCAAGCTGTTGTCCTACTTCCACCTATGCCAAAATTGTTGCTACTTGCCATTTTTGTTAACATTTGATAGAGTTTATTCTATGCCCATATCAGACACTTAGTTGAAGATTTATATGGCTAGTTATCCTGTCCTTGGAACAGTTCTTATAGATGATATTTGACAATTTCTTTTGCCAGACTTGTAATTGTCAGATTCTGTGTCTTCACAATCCATAATGATTTCTAAACATGCTCCTCTCTTTACAGGAAGAGAAAGTGCTTTCACCACAGATGCCAGCATTCTCTGAAGACTGATTCCCTCATCCTTAAGTGATACCAGCTCTTCTTTATACCATGGGACCTGGCAGCAGTTTTCTAAGCAGTGGACAGGTTCATATCATCCTATGGGGAGGTTTGGCAGCTGTGACGATGCTCTTGTTCCTTACTTTCCTCATCTTTCTTTGCTCCAGCTGTGACAGGTAAGACTCAGCAGCTCAAGCAATAAAAGTAAAAGCAGGAGATGTGCCACAAGAAGCCATGTCTGAGTATTGCGTGGATTCAAGTAATTTCATTTAAGCCAAGTAACAAGCATGGTTGGGATTCCAAAAAAAAATTTTAAATGGGCCAAAATAAAGCAGTTTCTAGTTAAACTTGTTGAAAATACATAGCAAAGACCTCAACCCTGATTTTCTTTTAAAGGAAGGCAACCTCTATAGTATATAGAACACATCTTAACCTTGTTCCTTTCAGTTCCTCCTTTACATGTCTATTAGGTGCTTGTTCACAGTATGTGTTTTGAGATTCTTAGCGACATTCATATTTACAAACCTGTCACATAGTATCTCTGACCGGAAACAAAGTGAAAATTGAGTTCTTAACATGAAAACTCTGTGCTCAGCTATTTGTGTCAAACAGATTTATCAAACTTTCTGGATTCTCTTAAATAATAGCTTACATTTTTAATCATCGTACAAGGCATAGGAGAAAAGATTCAGACTTTCATAAATGAAATGGAAATCAGTTCTTCAGCCTGATATGAATAGTTTGTTTGGTACCAGAAACATTAGCTTACAACTGTTCTCTTGTGTGGTACACAAAAAGTGGGGTTTGTTTTTTCCCTACCTCAGTTTTTTTGACAATTAAATGTAACCTCTTTGCCAGGCACTGGATGGCAGTAACAAGGGCTGGGTTCAAATTTAGGATTTAAACACCAACTTTTCAAACCTAGTTTGAGTCCCCACCCAGAAACCTAGGCAAATAAATTTTAACTTGGTATTCTAATCTGAACAAACTTTCTCCACTCACAAGCAAATGTTACACTAAAATAGTGTTTATAACAAGGGAAAAGGAGAGCAAGATTACACATTCAGGGAAAACTTAACTATTAACCCTTAACTATAGCTTAAAACAGATCACAGTCACAATCACTGGCAAGGCAGCCTGGGAAGCTGCCACCTATCCCAGCTGTTGGAAGGAGATTCTCACCCAGGGTTGCCCTCTGGGAACTCTGCCAGATACTCCAGCCAAGTAACAAGTGCTGGATAGGGAGGCCCTGTTGCTCCTCCCTGCCAGGGGTGCATCTGTGCTCTCGGGGGCTCTACCACCTCCACCAGCCAAAGTAGCAAGTGCTGGGTAGGGAGGCCTGTACTAGAGTTAGTGCCACTCTGATGCTAAGATTGCTGCTGCTCTGGCTGTTGGGGAGCACCACTAGGGTGTGATGCTACAAAATGCTGCTCTGACTGCCACCTCCAGGAGTTTCCGCCACGCTGGTGGGGGTCCCTATCTTTAGATCCTGCCCTATTCCTGTCATAGATTCAGGGATATTTTTAGTAATAAGTCCCTGGCTTCATTCTAAGACCCCCATAGATTGCTGTATTCAAAAGTGTGTTTACTTTGAGGAGTTGGTTGAAGCCATGTCAGGCATGACTTCTGCCTGGAATCTTTTCAATGCCTCTGTTCTGTACTTAGCCCTAAAACTGAGGGCCACCGCTTTGCAGGCCTTTGGCACAGCTTGTAGCAAGGACCTTTCAGAGTTCATCGTAGAACTTGGCATTGACAACACTTGTGTTGACAAGCTTCATGCATTTGGAAGGGAGGGTTGTTGGACACAAAGTCTGATCCACCTGGTCTTTCTAACTGCACACTTTAATCTCAGTATAACCCAAGACCACAACTGTGAGTAGTGAGATGTGAGTAGACCTTCAAGCCTGCATACTAAGGAGAGCATGCAGATGAAGAATATACAAAGTTACCATTCTAAAACATAACCATAGTCCAACATGAAGAACATAATCAGGGTTACATCAAAGCATTGAAGCCAATGAAAGATTCCTTCATTCATGAAGGATGCTAGTTCCTCTGTTTTTTCCAAGCCTGTGGGAACAGGTCTAAGAGTGGTTATTGTATGGTATGTTTTTCTATGGCAGAAACAGCGAGTTGTCTCCAGCATCCTTCCAGGAAAATTTCATAAAACATTCCCTATTTAGAGCATTTGAAACCTGGTCTGCCTATTTGCTTCTGATGTGTAGGAGTGCTGCTCACACAAAACCATCTTCTCTCCTTCGATTCATCTACGATTTCTTTCTCTGCCTGACATGCCAGCACAACCCAGGTAGCCCAGGGTAAAACAAAGCTAGTGGTATTTTGATTCAGCCTTGGATCATTGATCTGAGGTTTTCAGGTAGGGCAGAGAGCCTTGAGAAGACACCAAGAGACAAATGTTCCTACATACTTGTCCTACATGGTATTAGCAAATAAGAAACCAGGTCAGTTGAACTGGGTGGAAGAAATGGGAGAGACTAGAAAAACAGAGTTATGTATTACATTGATATTTCTATATATTTGTACTTCACCTCTGAGACTGAGGGTTTGATTGATCCTGCTCCTTCTAAAAATGGGAAGGACAGACACTAAGATAAAGGTGGTAATAATCAACAGTTTGATCTCACAACCTACGCCTAAAAATTTCATTCTTGTTAAGAAGAATTGTTCCACCAAGATGAGTACTTTCATGAAACAGATACTTTCTGGTCTTCAAAGCTGAATTTCAAGCCCTTTACAAAATGCATATAACCAGCCCTACTGAGATGATGGATATTTTTAAAAATAGACTCCCAAAGCAGCGTATAGGATTTTAATGAGTCATGTAGTTAAATGTGATGCAGTACAGTACTTCAGAAATATACTCCTTAAGATCCAGATTGCCTTTATGAAAAAAAAATTACAACGAATTTGGTTAAATTTTGAACATAAAACTCCTAAGTTGGTTCTCTTTTCCTTTATACTGATGTAAATCTAGAGTAATTATATCAACATCAATGGGGTATATCTGGATTTTTATCTGAAATTCTTTATAAGAACAAGAGCAGATTCTTTTTTTTTCAATTACAAAAATCATACAGTGTTTATCTTTCTGCTATGATATTCTGGTGGGGGCTTCAGTAATGAAAGTTCATCCTGTCCACCCCAAACTGTGGCATATGTACTGGATTTGTAAGATGGTGTCTTGGAACAACAGAGAAGAACTGACAGTTTCAGCACATGCAAGACCAGTAATCACCGACCAATAAGGCTGAATAGACTTAACTGGTGAAGGGAGACTTAATGTATGGGCTCTGTAATAAAGGCTATTGGGCAAAAAGAAATGACAAATGAGCACCAGAAAGGAAGAAGATAGCTTTGAGGTTTGGGTTGCTCTCTTGCTTCATTTTGTTTTGTTTTATTACTTTTTGTTGATTCACTTTAACTTTCCTGAATGTCCCTCAGATATAGACCTGACATGGGAACACAGACCAAGCCACTTTCTCAGCCCATGTTACAAAGTTCTGTCTTAATTGTGCTAGCTACAAGTGTTTAAAAAAAATCAGCATGGCTATTGCAGCAAAATCTCTGATTTACATACAATTATGTTGACAAAGGAGTGCTTTTGTCAGCTTATCTGTACAGGTTTCCCTCGATTTATGCTGTACATGAGTTCCCGGAGAACAGCGCATAAATTGAATTCACATAAAGCAAACCTGCTTTACAATGTAACACATAGGGATAGGTTCCCATGGCAGTGAGGGAGGCAGGAAGGGAGTCAGGCTGGGATGAGGGAAGGGGCAAGGGTGAGTGGGGCCATGGCCCTTTCCACTCCCCATACAGATTTACCTGCTTGGGCAGGGAGGCATCTATGCTGATTGCATAAGAATGAATTTACCTCGCATATAACGAATTATGGGTCTAAATATGCTCATTGCATAGGAGCTAATTTGCATATAAAGAACCCACGTAAATCAAGGGAAACCTGTACTGGAGAGGTTGTGCAGTTGCACTGGCATAAAACCTTGACATGAGAACGTACACTCTGTCTCCACTAAGGGGCTCCCCTGATACAAGTATGCAGCACAGGCTCCAAATGTACATGCAGCCACTCCCTGAAATACAAACTGGAACCAGGATGGGTCTCAAAAGCCCCAGAATTTCTGAAAAAGCATAGAAGCACTCAACTCTTTTCTTGTAACTTAAAAGAGAAGCCCATTCAATTGATATTGTTCTACAAGCTAAGTTAAAAGATATTATGAACTTCCCCACATTCACTGCAACTGCCTGTATGCAGGCATGTTTTTGTGCCCAAAAGTTTGCCTCACAAAGTGGTTCTCAACTTTTTTTAGATGTAAGGCATCCCTCATTTGACTTGAGCTGTCCCTCCATACCTTCTGTGAATTGAGCTGCACCCCATTTCAAAAACTAATTTATTTATTACAGTGCTTACCATCTTGCTAAGGGGCCAGGCAGCGGGGCCAGAGCAGCAGCCAGGCAAGGATAAGCCTGCACTTTTCTTCTCACACGTGCTTATCTCCTAACACCTTGCAACACCCTTCAAAAATTCCCATGGAACCCTGGTTGAGAATCAGTGGTCTAACACCTCTCTCGGCTATATATTTGGTAAAGTAAAAGATATCAGCAAAAACCCCTTGCTGTTTCCATATTTGCAGGACTATTATAGCTACAACACTCCAACCCTGTATACATATAACTGTTTAAAATTCATTTAGCTTCTAACCAACATTGTGATCAGTGAATAGTGCTCTGCTCATATCTTATAGTACTTCAGTCCCTGAGACATTATCAGAAAGAAGCTGCAAAAATATTTTATGAGAATCAATCATTTGGGTATTTCTAACAAGTTAATATGAATTAATAACCTTAGATGTTATCTGGTAATATACTTTAATAATTACATTGTGTTCCTAGCTTGGACAAAGCATCATTTATTGCAGATCATTGTGTGTGCAAAGTTGTTTACAGAGAAATATGATTACATAAAATTTCTTTACAGCACTCTCTTTGAGAATTGTTGATGTAATATCTGAAGACATAAAACCAGAGTAAAATCTGCTCTGCTTAAAATGCATTGTCAGAAAAGCTTCAGGGAGGAATTAAGTATTTGTTACCAGGAATTGTACTATGAATGGCATGAATGCTGGCATGGATTTAATTGATACAGTTACTCAGCTCTCAACTAGCTAAAATGTTTAAGACCCAGGCTGTTGTGGAGGATGCCATGTGTTTCAGAGTATAGTGGGAGGAAGTCATCAGTAGTCTCCTCCTCTACTCTTCTCTTCCCACTTTTTATTCCCTCCAGATGAGGAATATTAGTCTGGCATCCTATTGCTGTATTTCAAAATAAGCAATCTATTCAATCCATTTGTAAGAAGGGCCACTAGGGACATGGTATATATTTTCTATGAATCTGTACGTTGTAAAGCTTAATTATACACATACAGCTTAAGTGTGTGTGTGTATCCATATACATAAAATTATATGTATTAGTGTGTTAGTTATAATAATTGCATATATAACTATAATAACTTATTGTAAAGCTTATGTAGTATGTGTATGCCTGTGTGGAATTAAGTTTTACAATATATATTGTCTATGAATATGTATATTATGTCCCCACTTCTTAGAAATGGATTAAATTCTCACACACACACACACGCACGCACACACACACACACACACACACACACACACACACAGAGTCTGGAGCATGCACTTCATTTTATATATGTATATCTATCTATCTATCTACCTATCTATCTATCTATCTATATAGATACAACTTTCTATCTGGGCCTGTGCGAAGCAGCTAGTATTCACTTCAGATTCGGCCGATTCAGGGGATGGCGATTCAATTCGGTGATTCAAATCACTGTCCTGAATTGATGTGGCTGAATTTCTGAATCAAACAGGCCCCATCCCGTGCCTGCTCTGGCAGCCCTGTCAATGGCTGTCCTGCCCGGCCCTAGTGTTCCGGCCCTTTAAAAAAAACAAAAAACAAAAAAGCCCTGCACTCACCAGCTTCTACCAGGTTGCAGGGGGGCAACCCTTGCTGCACCCCACTGCCCCATGCTGAGTGGGGGGCTCTGCCATGAGCCCCAGTCCCCCAGAAGCCCCAGTGGCTGCTGCAGCAGCCGGTGAATGCAAATCTTTTTTTTTTTTTTTTTTTTTTTTTTTAAAAGAGCTGGGATTGTTGGGGGACAGGGAGGCTGGGGGAGCAGGCAGGGGATGGGACCTGACAGGGGTCCCCCAATGGTCCCTTCCCCCCTCTTCCAGCTCCCACCCCCCCAGTTACTGACACAGACCCCGGGGTCCAGCTTCCTGCAGCATCAAGCAGGGACTGCCCTATTCTCCCCGGAATCAATTCAGAAGCTTCAAGTCAATTAGGACCTTTTTATTGGTCTCCTGATTTGATTCAGAGATTGGGCCACCAAATTGGGCTGAATCAAATCAGCACCAAAAGCTTCGCACAACCCTGAGAGAGAGAAAGAGAGAGAATGAAGTGCATGCTCCAGACTGAAACATGTACAGTCTGACTTGTAACTCCTTAAACTAGTCACACTTTATCTACTACTAAGAATTTTGTTTAAGAAATTGGAATTGTGCTCTTGGAAGGATTTGTATAGCTCCTGAGTAATTTTAAAGAGGCCTATGATTCTTCAGACCCCAAGCATTCCCTAAAAGATGCCACACTGGCCACTTAAGAGACAAGACATTTAAAGATTATCAGTCTCAAAGAACAGTTATTCTCTGTAAATTTTAGACTGACTAAATACCTATTTTGGTTCCATAGTTTTCAACTTTTTCCATACTATGAATCCAAGTTAGAATAGGAAAAAAACTATTGATTGGAGTTATCCTGAACTGTTGACTATGACTACCTTGTCCTCAAGGTAGTTACAACCCCCAAAATAATAATCTGTTTTTAACAGGAAGAAAAATAAAAATCTAGGATGAAGGTCAGTAGCAATTGCTACCAGGACACACACACATTTCACAGTAGATTTACAGTGGGCTGTAACAATATGTATTTCTTTTCCTTTAAGGGAAAAGAAGCCTAAACATCAGAACGGAGATCATGAAAATCTGATGAATGTGGTAAACATTATTTCTCTATTACCATTTGTATTTTTTCTTTCAATTTGTGCTGACCCATTTAATTGAGCCTATAAAATATAATATTGCTGGTGAAAAGGCAGACAGAGAGAGGTGGGTTTGGGGGTTCTCTTTGGGTCATGGGAGGAAAACTGCATTGGGTTAGCTTTTTTATTAAAATAAAAAAAACTTACTAATAGGCTTTGTATTGGTTGGCAATGGGTATATTTAAAGTTTCACAGACTTAAAAGCAGAGCTCCTAACACTCAGCTAATTCATGGCAAACCTCCAGGTCCTTACTGTTAGATTGAGTTACTTACTAAAGTCAACAGTACATTGGACTAAGTTTGCACTTGTTCACCTTCCATACAGTTCCATTGAAGTTAAGGGAGGTTTTGCAGAATGCAAGGCAGGAGAGTGAGGTCCTTGGACCAAAATCCTACAGTTACCTTGGGTGCACAGCTCATGTATTTTTGGTTGCACATCCTCCATAAGAACCTTGCAATGATCATAGTGCTGAACAGTTAAGTATGTCCTCAGTCACACTTTGCCTCGTGGTGAGCAAGAATAACACTTACAAAAACTAGTGTATGCAGCTGAGTAAGGAATACTTGTTGCCTCTCTGAAGAGCTGGATGTGCCCCCTGGCCAATTCTTTTAGGCACATGCTGTCTGAGCCAGCACCCTCGACAGGGTGTAAGAATCTCTTCTCTTACCTGCAGGAGAAGAGAGGCCCCTCTTTCCCTCTGATTGCATTAGCACAGTAGTAGTTCAGTGCAGTAGTTCAGCAGGGAATACTGCTGTCTGGCACACCAGGCAGTGTTCTGAGGGCTTAGCAACTTCAGCAAAGGAAAGGACATGGTGACAGTCTAAAAATGCTGTGTTTACTTTTTTAATTATTTACTCAGCTTAAGTTAATTAAACAAATAAATTATCATTGCCACGAATTTATGTCTCATAAACTGTAGTTACTTTAGTATTTTTAAGGCATTATTGTAGTAGGGCAGAATTCTGGGTGGTTGGTAACCATAGGTAAATATTGACTTTTCAGTGCAGATCAGCATAGGACATGCATCTCAACTACATAGGCTAACTCCACGGATTGAATCAGACTTAGCCTCAGCTACAGTAGGTGCCTTAGGGTACAATTTGATCATGGCAAATTACAATAAAATAATGTATATGAATGTGTTAGTTAAAGAGTATGCAATATTAGTGTAATTTACCTTTGAGGGGGAGAGTAGGAAAAGCAACCAAGAACCTGAAGCTGGGGCCAGCTTTTTATATACCCTTTTAGCATTTTTTTGTTTTCCTGCTTCCCTAGCTGCCCCAGCTTCCACTCTTTTTCTGGGATGAACTTCACAGTATAATTGAATACATTTGATAGCTTTATTTATTTATAATATATAAACACATGCAGGAATATTGAAATATGTTGGACTTAATTCAAGTTTGACACCAGTTTTATATTTGATACAGAACAGTATGAAACCAGAATAAAATCTGTAGTGTGTGTAACTATGTATGTACCAAAGTATGTGTGTGTGTGCATGTGTGCATCTATATGTAGACATACATATGTAGTAATGTAGACATGTCAAGATAACTGTACTTCATTTGCAGTATTATTTTACAAGATTAGTTATCTCTTATTCTCCATAAATGTTAGGTAAACATCAGATTTTGTTTTTTCAGCCTTCAGACAAGGAGGTGTTCAGTCATTCTATCACTAGTTCAGCCACAGATCCACCTGCCAGCAGTGAGCAGAATGGGGGACTCAGTAACGGGGATGGTAAGTACTTCAGTTTTCTAAAAAGAAAAGAGCAAAAGATCCCTTTTCCCCCTCTGACACCTCCTCGTGGTCTCCTTATGGGCAGCCCATCTGGGTCTCAGGCCTCCACCTGGCACCTTTCTAGGGACAGACTCCCATGACCCACTCCCTCTGGATCCAGCACCTTAAGCTACAGACCCCTGCAACAAACTGTGATGGCCTCACCAGGTCTTGCTTCAGATCAGCACCTTCAGGTCTACTCTCTCAGGGGCAAGGGCTGACCCCATCCAATGACCAGTCATCTTCCGTAAAGCCAAATAATCTTTATTCAGAACAACAGAGCAAATTAATTTAAAACTATAAAGAAATTACAAGCATGTCTAGCTTACTAAGTGGCCACCCATCCTGCTCGTGGGGACCCTGATAAATCTAAACGTCATGTAAGCTTCCTCCAGTACCTGTTCCTCTCATGCCTCTCAGCTCAGAATGGTGTCTTCCTCTCACAGACCTTTTTATGCCATCTCAAGTCCTTTGCTGTCTTGGACCTTTTGAATCAGGTGAGACCAATCTATACTGAGTCTCAGGGCCAGGGGATGAAACTTCAAAAGATTCAATCACTAGCAAGCCCATAAAGATTCGTATACCCACCTCAATCAATAGTCTTTTACTGGTTCAGCATCTTTCATATTCTGTAATTTGTTTGAGCAATACAGTCTCTTTTCAACTGCTCACTTTGTACAGTCATCTGAAATTTGAGGGTGTTATGTAGTTTGTGGGGGCAGTTGCCAAGAGGAAGGAGGATCAGATTATTATACAAGAAAAATTAGATAACCTGGAGTAACCAGGAATGGTGTAAAATTTTATGCACTTTGGGATTCATACCAAGAACTTCTGTTGTAAATTGGGGCCTGGTAATGGAGGCAATGGAAGAAGAGAGGGATCTGGGTGTTGTAACAGGATGACTAAACCACCAGTGTGATGCAGCCACAAAAAAGGCCAATATGGTTCTAGAACATATTACACAGAGTGTTTTCCTTAGTGGGGACAGGGACACTGTCTAAAATATAGTGTACAGTTCTGATCCCTCATGTTCAAAAAAGAAAGGCTACTAAGATAGGGAGATAGAAAATCTATCATACACCAAAAGGCTAAAATAGCTTGGTTGGTTTAGCTTGGCAAAAGAAAGCTTTTGGAGAGATTGCTTTTGTATAAATAAAGTCATGGAGTTGATAATCAGGGATGGAGAAGGAGGTATTTTTTGTTAAAGAAGAGTAGCACAAGGTCAAGTGGCTACTACATACAGTACAGGTCATGAACAAGTATAGACTGAGAAATAAAACAAGGTTTTTAAGGATCAGAGGAGTGGAGTTTTGCAGTGGTTTTGTGAACAAAGTAGTAGGAGCAAGGAAGCTAAAATGCTGTTAGATGTGGCTCAACAGCTTTATGGAAGGGATGGCATGATACAGCAAGGGTGTTCTTAAAGCAATAATCAGCATATAATGTGTGGCTTTAAATACTGTATTTTCTTGCATACAGCATGGACTTTTCCTCTCAAAATCAGTTCCCCAAAATGTGGGTATATGTAACAAGTGGAAAAGCTGGTTTCCTGACTGCATTAGAAACACCCTGCTTTGATTCCTACTCCACAGTGCAGCAGCCGTGGTATCACAATTCAGGCAGCTGGTGGAGTCAGTTGTCTTAATGGCTCATTGTACGTCACTCCACGGGTGTTAACAATCTTCTCTTCTTTTTAATGGTTTTGATGTTCTGCTAACCAAGGTAGTGCCAGTTTTACTGTCTGCTAGCTGTTCCCTGTCTCTGTCTTCTGTTTTACAGTCCTGGAGACTCTAGCTCTTTTCTGAATCAGAGATGCACCACTGGAGACCAGTCTTCAGCAACAGCTAGGGTTTCAGCTTTAGTTAAGTAGGAAAGGGAGGGTGAGTCAGATGAAGATTAGGCTCTGCACCTGTTCTGTATGGCCATAACTCTGGCAAAATATTTTTCTTCATTTTGCTGTTCAAAAGCAAGGGTCATATATACAGGGATGTGTTATATACAAGAAAAATAAGGTGTTTAGTATTTCCATGCCAGGGTAACTCAGTGAAAACTCAAGGAAACTCAGTGGGAAATCCATGTAGGAAGCAAGTAAGTCCATGCTTCAGGGTTCTGGTAGTCACTTGCAACAGCCATTACAATTTTCCCCCCTATGAATGCTTTATTTGGCATCTGTTTTTTGTTGACTCTGTTCTTATTTTGTTCTCCTCCTTCTTCTGAAGTCTTGGACATTGGCTAAAAGTGAGAGTTTCAGTAGGGTTCACTTGAGCTCTAACCAGTGCTGGCTAGAAGGTCCTGCTTATGTACTCAGTGTCAAACAAACTACCAGCTTTGAAGAAAGGGAGGTATTTTCCTTAAATTAGAGTGGTAGGGACTGGGATTTTTGCCTTCTCTGTTGTACAGGGCCTGGTCCTCTTCCTGGGATTAGCTGACCATATATTAACAAATTACCTGCCATGGCAGTGGTAGAGTGCTAATTGTCCTTATAGCTCTCCTTCTCTTTACCTGCATTACATTGTAGAGGGATATTTTAAGGTGCTTTGTGTCTGCATTGTTGGAGTAAGTTGGAGCAGATAATTTGGGGACCCTTTGGAGAAATGCTTCAGGGGATCATTTCTTGATGGCCCAGGAGGCCCCTTCCAGCCCGCTGTGTCTTGCAAACATGAATGTCCTTTTTTGCATGTGTGTAGCCCCATTGACTTCAATAGGCTGACAGACCTGAGGAAAGCTAAGCTCATGTGTAAATGTTTATAAGATCAGCACATGGCTAATCCTTACGGCATTAATTAAATCCTTTTGGGGTTAAAGGTGTAAAGACACACTTTGAGAATGATGGGGATATTTAAAATAATAATAATGTACAAAGCTGCACCATTCCCAGAGTTATTTGAACACATTTTACAGTCAGTAGTTTGGAAAAATAAAACACATTTTTCATTCAGTTGAGCATATATTTGTATTTTAGAAAACTGAAACATGAATAAGCTTTTTCTTAATCCCTCTTGCTTTGCTGAGCACTCAGTATGAGTCACACTCAAATGAGACTGAACAAAAATTTCACTCAGGTGAAACTAAAAATGAACAGGCCCTCAGCACAGAGCTCCTGGGAGCCAACTGTTCTCTGTCTGCATCAGACACTGACACACTGGGCTGCATTCCCTACTTTATAGCTGGACTCCTCATCCCACTGTGATGCTAGACACTAATCTGTTAAACCTTTAGCACTCAAAAACAATTAACAAAAGGATTTTTTAAATGTGTCCTTTCTTACAGTTAATCCCCATCCTTTCAGGTTGATGGTGTTTCATAGTTGGGTGTATTTGCCTCAGAGTGACCCAATACACTGAGTAAAGCTTTACAGAAGGGAACACTTCCTCATGCTACTAGCTGCCATGCATGCAACTGTCAGAACCTGCTATGGAAGGAGAAAACTGCAGTTTGAGGGGTTTTTTAAGCTGTATGATATCATTGGCACAGGATACAAGAGGTATTAAAAAGCCCCTGAAGAGTAGCCTGGATGAATTTGTTCTGCTTCTTTATTTTTAATTTTCTTTCCCCCCAACTATCTGTTTCCTTGTTGGAGTTTTTGTTGGAGTTTTCAAGTTGGTCAGGTTTGTAAAAGCACCACTGTTACGTATACTGTGGCCTGTCCTTTCCTTTCCTGCTTGCATTCTTGCTAGCTAGCTGGCAAGGCTGTTCTTTCAATGGTTTTAACAAAAACAGCATATAGAGATGAGTGGTCCTGCTTCTAAATGGACCTCCTAGTCCCCTTAATTCTTCCCTGATCCTGGCCTCTCCAAGAACTGTGAAGAGAATGAAGAATCCCCTGTGGGCCAAAATCCAGACAGAAATAAGTACCCCCTCAAGCTTCCTTAGCCTGGATCCTCTTCAGGACCTCTGGAGTCACAGTGTGGGGGTGAAAGTCCCCTTGTTGGATTCTCATTACACCAGCCTTATGCAGGGGCCAGAAGAGAGAAGTTTCTATTCCCTTCCCCCACATTTCAGTTTTTGTTGTTCCCTGCCTTTATTTGGGGAACCCAGAAAAGAGAAGACCACCAACATTGTACCTGAAACTCAGCAACCAGCTAGGCAAAAATATGTGCCCAGACAGCATGTCAGAGTTATGTCATTGTGCTTATGGGGGGTGAAGGGCATATAGCTGGCAACCAGCAAATCAGTGACTCTGATTATCTGAGAGAAATGAGAAAATGGAAATTAGAGATCCAGGAGGAGTTTCAGTTTATGCCAGGTTCCTCACCAACATCCTTACTCAGGATTGTAGAATTTCTAATGTGCAGAAGTGGATAGGAGCCACTGCTGAAAAGATTGCATGTCCTGCATCTGATCACCTGTTTCCTGGGCTCATCATGAGCAGCGCTACAGTATAAAGTATTTTAAGAAAAAATGAATAGATAATGTGCTATATGAAACCAAAGAATATCTCAGCTGATAAGTATAGCAATCTCTTTTTGGCTAGTATTTTTAGTAAATTGAAAGCCACATATACCATAGAATTTCATGTAATTACATGATTTGACACTTACAGTGAAATGCAGAAGCAAAGCCATGCAGTATGTTTATCTACTCTTGCCTTTCTCTGGTGCTGGATAGTTGGTTAAATAATAATTTTTCCCTCCACAGTTCTCTCAGAAGACAGTACAACTGCCTGCATCCAGCCTTATGAAGAAGTGCAAACTTCAGTTTCAGATCTATTAGACCAGCAGGACAGTCTTGGAAAGTCCATAAAATGTCACCAGAGCAGGGAGCTACCTAGCATTCCTCCCGACAGTACCATGGAAACCATCCTCTCCACAAGAAATGTAGAAAATGATCCAGGTCTTGGAATGGAAGGGCCCTATGAGGTCTTGAAAGACAGCTCCTCCCAAGAAAATATAGTTGAAGACTGCTTGTATGAAACTGTGAAGGAAATTAAGGAGGTGGGAGGAACAACAAATGTGGAAAAAAGCTGCAGCAGCAAATTGAAGCCTACAGATGCAGTTACTGAAAGGCAGGACCAGGGTCCTGAGTGTAGGATTGAATCAGCAGAATATGCCTCTGTTGACCGAAATAAAAAGAGCCGACAGAGTGCTAGTTCAGATAGCCCGCTTGGCAACACCCCAGACATGGAAGATGAAGCTCCTCCACCTGTACCTGTGAAACTTCTTGATGAAAATGAGAACGTACAGGACAAAGGAGCAGAGGAGGAGGAAGTGGCAGAGGAAGTTGGTGAACCCGAGAAGGTAAGCCTTCCTACTTACACAGTCATCCTTATCTGACAGTCACTAACAATGGAGAAAAAAACCTGTGTATACGTACCTGGTGGTCCCATCACTATTTTATAGAATATTAAAATTAAGGTGGTCTATGGCTGTGAAACAATGGAGCGTCCCATCTTTTAATGTGGGCAGATTCATGCCCTGGTGACCTCCAGATTGGATAGCTGTTTATGGGGCCACACTTGAAAACCATTCATAATTGCAGACAGTGCAAACAAATTCTGTCAATTTGCTTAGTACTGTTAGATATTTATAGAAGCTCTTATGCAGTTCCCTAGAAGCTGCACTGGCATCCAGTACATTTCTGTCTCATTCAAGTTCTTCAGGTTTAGCTTCTGCTCATAGTTTACGTTGTTAAAACTTAGATTTACAAAATGGAGAGCAGGGCATTCTCAGCAGAGACCCTTCACCTTGGAATGCACTTCATGTCTTGGTTTGTAAGCAGGCCATCATTTAGATGGCTGAGAAAGAAGCTGTCAGCCATTTTGCAGCATAGCCTCTTCATGAAAAGCTAATCCATGAATCTAGAAAAATTTTTTTTTCCTACATTCTGCCTTCTAAAACAAGGTATCTTATTTGGGAGTATACGGTATGCAAGAAAATTCAGTAAGATGGTTTGCAGGCTAGTCAGGCTCTTTAGCAATTCCTGTGACTGCAAGAACAGAGCAGAAAAATATACCAGCCTGGTGATCAAAGCTGACCCTTTGCATTTGTAAGGCACAGTCTGGTTTGAGCGCTTTACGCCCCACATAAGAACATAAGCATTGTGATCGTAGGTCAGCCAAAAGGTCTGTGTAGCTCCCAGCAGTTGCAATTAACAGATGCTTTTCAGGAAGAGTATAGGAAACAGGGTATGTGTGTAGAGCAGGGGTGGGCAATTATTTTTGGCAGAGGGCCGCTTACCCAGTTTTGGCAGGCTGTCAAGGGCCGCATGGGTAGCCCTTCCCCTTGACAGGTGACCCACCCCTTGATAGGTGCCCCGCCCCCTGGTCACCATCTTGGGACCAGTGTCCCACTGTCTTGGGACCAATGTCCCAGGGCCAGCACCAGTGAGGCCCAGAGTGGGGCTCAGGCTGGCAGGGGCCTGTGGAGCTGGGCTGGGCTGCACCAGCAGGGAGGGGGGGAGCTGGCCTGGCTCCATAGACCCCCTGCCAGCTGGGACCCTGAGCTCCTGCCACCATGCTCTAGGCCCCGCCAGCACTGGCCCCGGGACACCGGTGTAGGCCCTGTGCTCCCACTGGCTCCCCACCCGCTCACACCCAGTGCCTCCCAGCCCTGCGGTACAGGCGGGGGGCAGTGCACAGCTGGTGCTGTGTGAGGAAAAGTGGCCCCTCGCCTGCCCCATGGCCGGCGCTCCCAGCCCACGCAGGGCTGTGCGGAGCAGGCACAAGTAGCCCCAGGCAGGCTTCAGGTGGCTGCAGCATGAGGTGCTGGCCGTGGGGCAGGTGAGAGGCGGCTTTTCCCCGCGTTCAGCACCAGCTTGTAACCCGCCCTACTGCCAGGAAGGAGCCAGTGAGTCAGAGCTTTTTTTGTTTTTCTTAAAGTGCCGGGAGCTGGGGCAGGCAGGGCAGCCATGGGGGAGCTGAAACAGCAGGGCAGGTCAGGGGGCTCACAGCAGAGCCCCCCATGCAGCGTGGAGGCAGTGGGGGGCAGCAGGAATCGCCCCTGCTGAGCAGCAGCCAGTGAGTGGGGGCTTTTTAAAAAAAAGAGCCAGGAGCTGGGGTGCGCAGGGAAGCCATTGCCAGGGCTGGGAGAGCAGGCGGGGGATGGGGGTTGTGAGATTTGGAGATTTGGCTGATTTAGCAGCAGCTGAATCTCTGAATCAGATTCGGCCAAATTGATTCAGGACAGTGATTTGAATCACCAGATCAAATCACCGTCTCCCAGATCAGCTGAATCCGAAGCAAATACTAGCTACTTCACACAGACCTGCTATCTATCCTATCCTGCATGACCTCACAAGTGAACCAAACTTAATTTAGGATATATTTAGATTAGTGTGCTTCTTTTCATTGTAGTTTGCTACAACTGGTTTGCACTTATCAGACCTGATATTATAGTTTAACATTTTTATAGTTGTTAATGACTAAGTGCATTGAGTGTGGCTCTCTGAGATGTGTTACAGGGCATATTTTTGTAAATATTCAAATTATCTTGGGTTTTCATGAAAATATTCACAAATTCCCAGTGTTTCACAGCTTTTAATGTGAATGGTTCTGCAAAAAATGTTTTTGGTTGTAAGTTATTTGCTCTTTGTTATGGATCATCCCCATTTTAAAAAAAGTATCTTATAACGTAAGTAAAGCACAGTAAAGTTAAAATGAACAATTTGCAAACAGCCCATTATCTAAAAATTAATCCAGAATTGCAATTCCCAAAATGTTTGGTCCAACAGATCATTATTAGCCCATCAAATTTCTCACAGTTGCCACGCACCCTTATCAATCATCCACCTTCTAACTGAAAACATTTGAAAGGCACACTAGGCCCAGACCAATCTGGAAATCACTTGCCATGATCTTTACCAGACCCTGCTGATCCATGGCCCACAGTTTAGGAACCAATGAGAAATAACAAGACCATTTCATTGATCTGAATGGTTTTTTTGGTTTGTTTGTTTGTTTTGCAGGGGGGTTAACCAAGAGCTATCTACATTTCAAACAAATATTATTTGTTGTGAATATTTATACTATCTCTAATATTTATGGGGAATAAACAATATCTAAGTGGCATTATTCATGTCAGGTGTGAAAAATCTCCTAGAAAATCATTGTCTTAGTCAGTGATAGAAATAAATCTCTTCACTGGCATGTAGTACCCCAACACAAAGAGTATAGTTTCAGTAACTGCAGGGACTGGGAATTGATTAAAATGGCTGAGACTTCGAAGAATTCATCAAGAGCTGACACATACAGTCCCTAAGTGCCAGAAAAAGGTGTTTGCCTAAATAAAAATTATTCAGAGTAAAAATCATCCTGAGTTAGAGAATTGGCAACATTGGATTATTTCAGCATTGTTTTTGTGAACATACATAATGCATTGAAGTGTGTGCATGTCCTGTCCTTGAGAGCTACAGCTGCTGCAGAGTTGAAAATGGTAATTGATTGAATATATAAATGCAATTATTTCAGGCATTGTATTTAGAGGTTGTTGTAAGGGTTTTTTATTTATTCTAATTTTCATTTCCTCTCTAGCTTTCCCTAGCAATGTGCAGCAGCAGCTGCTTGTCCTGATAAAGTGAGAGGGGAGTGGGGGGTGGGGGAGAGAGAAAGAATGTTAATGTTAATATCTTAAACATCTTTGTGAGGGTTTTTTTAATTATACCAATCCCCTGGCTATCGCTTGTTATTTCCTCTTTTGTGATGCCTCTAACTTCCTTCCTAAATCTTCTATACCCAAAACCTCCAACCCACTTCCTCCCCCTGATAAGAAAGTGAGACTTGGTGTCATTTGCTAATCATTATTCTATAATAAGTGTCTTTGTCTTAGCAGCGCCTGTAGAGTGCAGGGTCCCAGACTTGAAAACTCTTCCCGTTAGAAGGTTTTTGTGTAACTGGGGATGAATGCCATCAACCTCTGTAGAACCTTAGCTTTTAATTTAAAAAAAAAAAAGCTTCTAACCTATATGTATGCAGATCACCTTATACATGTGTAACCCAGTATCACACTATGCCAGGGCCTCTCTACAGTAGAAACATTTCCCTCTCTTGTAGGCAATATCTGTTGTAGGAATTTTGCAATAGTGTAAAAACAGTTTGCATTGTTATAACCCAAAACCTGCCCAAACATCTGGTATAGTGCACCTTCACAAGAGATGAATATGTATTTGTTTGTTTATTAGATGCATGTGCTACCCTTTTCAGAAGGCTCAGGGAAACTTACAATCAACAAAAAATTATGGCAACAGAATAAAATATTAAAATAAGAAGTTAAAAACCAAACGACACCCAATCCCTGTCCCCCAAAATTGAAGAGCAACCCAGCAATCCCAAGAGCCTTCCTAGCCCAACCTTACTTTTTACCCCCATTTATTTACTCCACAGAAGGTAGCAAACCATATAAACACAGGGCCTAACCCTGCAAACTGTTCCCATGCAAATGCTGCTGCTGCTGTTTGGATAAGAAGCCTTCCTAAGCCATAGAGAAAGGAAAATGGACACAAACCAGCTCAGTGTCACTGTTCTGAGGAGAGCTCTGAGGAGCTAGTTGGTCGGGAGAAGGATCCAGAACCAAAAACTGAAGGGAGGAGAAGAGTGACCGAGACAACTTCCTTACAACTGAGTGAGGTGGCAAGAGTTTTGGAGCCCTCTCACTTGTGGACAACAGGAGACTCTGGGTTTGCATGGGAAAATGAGAGAGAGAGAGAATTCTTCTCTGTCCATTTCAATAGCCAGATGGATCTGGGCTGGGTGGGATAAGAAGGTTCAAATGTATTAACACTTCCCAATCATAGTAGTAGTCTCATTTCCTCAAGTGGCATTGGGAGGTAGAAT